TTCTCAGTGATCTGTTATGAATGTGGAGGCTCTTGGAATAAGCGAGAGGTTTCTCGCGGAACCTAAGGTTTTCCGCGATACTTCTCGCTCGCCTCACTAGTGACTTCTTAGCAGCCACTAGCATTCGTATCCTATCAAGGCAGTGCTGTTTGGTGGTCAGCAGCACGCCTTGACTTAAAGTGTGATGGATACGTCGTAGTTTGGCGGCTATTCGCCGCACTGCGGGCGTGAAAGGCCTGTTGGCCGCCCTGTAATCCATCACACATTGGATACGAGACGCGTGGTGTCTCGCCGACATGATCCTAGCCTTCATCTTGTGTACACGCCGTTCAATCTTCTTCTTCTTATTATTATTATTAATTTGGATTATGCTGACAAAAACAAAATGAAAATGCATCCATCGTGGAAGATAAATACTATGGTTTCCCAAGCTTGACTTGGAGGATTTCTCAAACGTCATTCACAGTTAGTAATTCTAAGGTCACAACCTACAAGTCTTGGATATGTAACAAGATTCAACAGAATAAATTTAAAAAAACGATCTTCAGCTGGAAGTTTTATTAGTATTAAAATTTGAGTTTCAAGATATCTATAATACTGATGAACTTGACTACAACTGTGCCGCGTCCAGTCAGAATAATAGCTAGAAAGGGCACCAAACAAGAGGGATATAACGAAAGCAGAAAGGGGCATCTTTCTATCGAGTAGTGAGTGTGAGAGGAAATTTCATCCCCGAGACTGTATTTTGGAAAATATGCTTAGTTGGTATAATATTCACGATTTTAATGTGTAAAAAGTACCTGTTTTTGTCATCTGACCGATTTATTAATTGTTAATAACTGCCCTTGCACTTGATACTATTCTTGTAGTTCAGGTGTGATTGTGAATACATACCTGGGGTTCTGTAAGTTTCTCAACAATATCATTATACTGTTTCACCATAGTGCTTACTGCGTAGACATTCTTCTGTATTTTTTCTTTCCTCACTGCAATCATTCGAATATTCTCTGGTAGGACAAAATTCAACCTTTCCAAAAGTTCAGCGCACCTAAAGTAGTGCCATAAACCCTCCTCAAAATTCAGTTCAAACTGTAAACCCAAATCTGCTACAACATAGTTGCCCATGATTTCGTGCCATGTGAGGTTTCTCTGGGAATGTATCCTTTCCATGATTGTGTTGGCAGATCGACTTGTGCTGGTATTTTTACTGGACGGTTTTGTAACTTTCGTGCCTAGAAATAATTACAAACAATAGGCGTTAAAAAGTGTGTTACAAAGACAAAATATTTGGAAGTTGTTTGTACAGTGTTGATGTTACTCACTTCTTGACATCTGACTAGTACCGATACTAATTGACAACTTTCCTTGAGATTGTCCGGTTTTAGGCGGTTTGTAAAAAGTTCCTTTTTTGTTTGCGTTTCCGAGTCTCAAAATATCCATTTGTAGACAGGCATCCATAGAAGACCCAAACGTGTTCAACCATTCGTCAAATTTACCTGAACAAAAATACTAAAATCAGTCAATATGAATCCACTCAGCAAAGAATTTTATATTCATCAAAAGTTACCATTACCAATATAGACACGAAATTGAAAGAATTTGATTATCTAGCGTAAAACGGATCGAAAGAAAACATATTTTCCATACCAGAATGAAAACACTGCCTCTCAACGTGAGTTTCGCTAATCAAGTTAGCATCATCAGGATATTTTAAAATAGAATTTCACATTGAAGGTAGGCCTATTTCGATTTAAGAGTCACCGTAGACAGCTGTTTCAGTCATCATCAGAACCGGGCAGGCGGTCCTCAATTGAAGACAAAATGTGAAAAACCAAGAATAGTACTTGATAAAAATAACTACGTGAAAGCAAACGAGACATAGGTGGAACCACCTATTGGTGCATTAACCTTTCTTGAAGTTATATATTGGCCTCGCGAGGCCATCGAAATCGACCATATATATCGAGAAAGGTTAATGCAGTCAAGCTGCTGAAAAATAATTCCATGAAAATCAAAAGATAAATAGATAAGTACCATTCCGATCATTCCCATATTGATAGAAACATGTTGATTCGTTTTCCGATGACATTCCAGGATAGCTTCCCAAATTTCTGCTACCACAGTTGTCGGGTGATTGGTCAAACCACCAACACTGGTTAAAACCTTGACAAGTTGACTTGGGTGTCACACCAAAAGGTGGTTCCACTTATGTCTCGCTTGCGTTAACGCAGTTATTTTTATCAAGTACTTTTCTTGGTTATTCACATTTTTCACGTAGTCAGTGGGCATACTTGAAGACTGGCTTTATAGCCAGTCTTCAAATCATCTAAGAGAACAATTCGTTCAGGCCAGTCTCAACACCCTACACAGTAGGTTAATGGACTGACACCTATCAGAAAACAACTACTCCCCTGGCTAATACCACGAAGGGCGTTGGATTATATCCGACAGGTGTCAGTGCAGGATTCTTCACAGAAGTTATTCCTGCATATGCTGTTGGCGTTACAACTGCAGCAATAGATTTTCAATTATTGGAACACACTTGCAGACCGGTTTCGGGCTGTTTGGCCACTCGTCAGTGCAAGGTAGTGTATATCATCAACATAAAGTCGATGATTTCCGATAATTGAAAATCGAATTCCGTCAGAGTATCATTCCTCGAACTAAGCTGAAGACTACAACATATTCTCATACGGTTTTGTCTTGGCAAAGCCACGGTCAGTACTTGCACGGCGTATAGAACATATTTGACTAGTGGAATTATCGAAGTACAGATGTCATTGATACTCATCAGGAATGAAGTGGTGCTAAAAACCGAGCCTTGTAGGACTCCGTTTTCTGTAAAATGCGGTATAGATGACTGATCATTTGTAACAACTTTAAAAGATCTGTGTCTGTGTATGAGTTTTTCGAAAATGGTAGTTTTGCAAATCGTGTCGAAGGCGCTGTCAATATCTAGACTAACGCCATGGACCAAAAAACCGTCATTTTTGAATATATGCCTAAGCAACTACAACAAGCACGATACGCCTAACATAGTCTTAATACAAAGATTCAGAGAACTGATAAATAACCAGCAATTCGAGAAATTCTCCATACTGACACATCCAAAGAAGTTAAGGGTACCAGATATGCTGTTAATACACTCGATACAATAATAGCAACATACAAACTTCCCAATTTCTGTAATATACACACAGCTGAACTATATGGAATACTACAAGCGTTGAGGTCTCCAGTACAAGATAACAGTAAACTTACCATATGCACAGACTCCCTTTCATCAATATTCTCTCATCATCCTTTGGTTCGAGATATCCTCGACACCTGCCACCACTATCGTACCAGAGGTTTCCTTATTAATATCATCTGGATCCCTTCTCATGTAGGAATTACGGTCAACGAACGTGCAGACTAAGCAGCGAAACAAGTTTGTTCCTCCGACTTGCCAGAGGAGCAAATCCAACTCCACCAAGACTTGAAATCAGCAGCTCGACAAATGATGATACAAACATAGCAAACACATTGGAACACATGTACCACCAAACTACATACAATCCAACCCATAGTTTCTGCGCTGGACCTGCCCCCAATAACAAGAAAGGACAAAAGTGTTATAAGAAGACTCAAAATAGGCCACACCGACTCACTCATGGTTACCTGATGTCTTCACAAAACCCCCTATTTGTGAATTTGTGGTAATGCAAGACTCACAATTGAGCATATACTTTTAAATTGCATACACTACAGCCCAACTCGCCGCAAATACAAACTCAGAGGAACTCTCAAAAACATTATCGGTCTACCTAACCAGCTCAGTGTCGTGACAGTTCCTCAAGGACTGTCGACTGTTAAATTTAATCTAATTTTTATGTTTTGTATTATTATGTAAATGTATCACAGATCCCGTGTCAGTGGCCATTAGATGTCGAGACACGTTAATATTAATTAAAAAAAACTATAATTTATTTTCCACTTTTTAGTTTGGCGTGGTATTTCAAGCCCATTTGTTTTAATATAAAATATAGACGTATGCACAGACAATGTGGTTGTCTCACTTGCTCTCACACAGAAACTGTTTGAGGAAATTATTCAATCCTGGCGATCCTGATCAGGATAATGAGATAAATTTATAAAATTATTGTATTGTCACAGATTCTTAATAGGTATACAACTTTAAAAACACATCTTTCTGTTCACAAACAAACAAATATACAAGTGAAGCTAAATAAGCGTGTTAATTAAAAAGAGGTTTGACTCCCGATCCCATGCAATTACCTTGTTCATAGGCTTTCAGTTCTTTGGCGAATTTCAAGTAAGATGAAAAAGTTTCAACTTTCAAAGGAGAATTCATCAACTCGGGTACTCTTTGAAACTTCAATATGGGCCTCTTCAACTTGCAGTAAAGGAGACGTACCCAATAAATTGCACTTCCGCTAGGTGGAATGTTTTTGCACAAAATAGGATGTCTCTTGTTTCTCTGAAATATGTGAATCAATGATTTACCATTCAATTTAATTATAATTTAATAATATTCTCAATTGTTTAGTGACAGTGTTTGGAAATCTAGTGTTCGAAAGAAATGATTTACTCAATTCCAATAATATTATTTATGTGAAATTTTTATTCGATGAATTGATTAACAAAAAAATATTCTAGATTACTATATCATTATTAGCTTAGATGTAGTTTCACTTTTCATAAATTTCCCGAAAAAATTAGTGAAATCAATTTTGAAAGAAAATTAGAATAACTTTTCTAAGTGTTAAACTTTTGACATTTTGGATTTCATTTTTGATTCAACATTTTGCGATTTTGAAGGTGAATCTTAAATACATATTTTTGGTGTAGGTACCGATGGGATCTAGCATATCACCAATTTTATCTAATAATATACATAACTTATTGACAGTCTGCTTTTCAGCATAATAACTCCAATTTCATTCAGACACTTCCAAGTAAAGAACTAAATAATCTAGATACCAAAGAAAACTCCGAAGTTTTCCCTACATTAAAGATCAACTCCAAAATTATTAACGTTCTGAAAACAATAAAATAAATTTCAAAATGGCTGAAAGAAAAATAAGTCAATTTTACTCTGAAATAAGAACATTTTGTTCATAAAATATATTGTAGAGTTTCAGGAGGGTTCAATTTTTGGGAAAGAAAGTCTTACGGCGAAACATCGGATGTCTAACAGTGAGGATGACAGCGTTCCATGTAAGTGAACTTTAACTCTTTTCTATAATTATATTTTTCTGATTGATTCGGCCGTTACTGGATGAAGATCCATAGAAATTTTGAAAAGTTCACCTCACGATTTGATCTCCACAAACCAAAGTTTGTGTAGTTAAAAAAAACATTAATTATATTGTGTAATAATCCTGTGAATGATATCTGCTTCGATCCCATTACGAATGTTTGGAATACAAACGGCATAATAATAATATATAAAAGTAGTTGTTGCGAAAGTAGGTATTTTTCTTTCGTGTAATTCAATGTTTATATGGAAGTAGCTGTTTCAGGAGGGTTTTTTCTTCCAGTTTGTGTCTGAAAGTTACTTCTTTGCATGATGTACAAATTTTTTTTATAGAGTTAATTTTTGAAATTGAGTGCTTCCTTCCGTTCCTTGGAATATTCCCACACTTTTTGTATCACGATGAGAAGTAGAAGGCCAAAAACTTTCTTTCCCAAATATTGTAGAGATTGTAGCAGGGTGTACATTGGACATACTCCTTTATTATAATACCAAAGTAGAAGGCACTAAATTCCCAGAAATATCTGCGACGTTTTTGCCCTAATCTGTTGGGGAAAATAATTATCAAATATTTAGAATCACAACCTGACAACGATGTTTTCGTTTTGATGCAATAATATTTTTGAGAATTTAGTGCCTACTATTAAGGAATTTTAGTATAAAAGGTAGAATTACGACTCCTGAATAAGTACATATATGAATTCAAGGCTAATAGAAAAAATGCAAACTGTGAAGTTCCAATAATCAGACTTTTTTCGATTGAAAGTGAAAAAATGTGGGAAATTTCCGTGTAAAGAAAAAAGGCAATTAATTACGGAAAAAACTCTTTACAAAGATGTGAAGATCATGCATGGAAGGTCAGACATAAACTGGAATCACACGAAAGAAAATGTACTTTTGAAACGATTACTTGTGAAGAGTTTATTATGACAATAATATATTTCTTTCTTCATTTGGAAGCTTCCAGCAGTTTTTGTATAAAGATGGAGAAGTAGAAAGTCAAAAACCGTTCTCTCCAAAAATATATACCTACCTAAGAAAATTCTACTCGTAGAAAACCAAAACCTTTCTTTCCCTAGAATTTTTTCAATTGATTCCATAATGCAAAGTATATAATTGATTAACTAGTCAAATTTATACTCATTTGTTTGAACAAAGAGAAATAATAATGCTGAAATTTCTTCCATTACAACTACCTGACGATAAAACAAATAATTTCTATTGAATAAAGTGTCAGTATTCATGTCAATTTCGCCATCAAAAATTGGATTTTGTTCATTATACCAAGAAACATTGAATGTTCATGAATAGGTATCAACTAAAAATACAAATTTAACAAAATAATGAAATTTTGTACAAAGAAAAGACAATTAATTAATGTACCATTTTTGTGTTGTTCAAACTGATGCTAATTTTTCGATAAATCTCTCCGTAAGTGAATTTAATCTATATTGAGTAGTACATAAACATTCACGAAAGCTTGATAGGGATATATTTATACAGATAGAGGCCGTTTCTTTTATCATGTGGTAATATTGCTATAATATCCTAAACCGCAACAAATACGAAGACGATTAAATGGGAAAAAAGGTAACTGTCATCGGGAACAATACAATGGTCGAAGGAAATTTACGGGAACTCTCGCCCTTCTCGAGTTGTACGGGGAAAACCAAAAATGCTATTTTTCGTTTTTTTCCAATGGAATTGTTATTTCGGAGAATATAAAAAAATGGAAAAAAATGTTATTGTATTCGAAATGTACTATGACGATGTAATAATGAATATTCGATAAAACGTTTCGTGTCAACATGGCCACCATCAACTTTTTTTTAAATACGGACCTGTCTTTTTTATTGCAGATATTGATAAAGTAATAAATTCACAATCCAAGGGTATATCACTTTTGATATTTTTATAGCGTTTCATTTGAAGCAACCACCATCATCAGTGACAACAATTTTAAATTACGGTCCTGTCATTACTTCTTTTGTATATTATTTCGTTTTCTTCAAAATATAATTCAGACAACCCAATTTAATATAGATTTTTCCCAAACGTTCATGATAAAATAACTGTTTGATTGTTATCACTGTTGATGGTGGTTATTTCAAATGAAACGCTATAAAAATATCAAATGTGATATACCATTAGATTGTGAATTTATTGCTTCATTATTACAACGTCATATTACACTTCGAATACAAAAACGTTTTCTTTTTCCATTTTTTGATATTCTCCGAAATAACAATTCTGTTACGTATTTGTTACGGTTTGGAATATAGCAATGTTTCCACATGATAAAAACAACGGCCGGTAGGTATAGTCCAAAATCAAACTGAAAGCCTTCGCTGGTTGACAACAACTATCTATGACAACAGACGTGATATTATATATTTGAACATTATCAGTGCAGTATAGTTTTTCAGAGGATCTGTGAAATTATATGTGTTATGTCTTGTTACATTTTTTGTTTTTATTTTTATTTTTACTTATAGTTTTTTTCATCGTATTGTAAAGAATCCATACGCTAAATGAATAAATGAATAAATTATCACTGCAATGTTGATCTTACTGATTGGATTTCTGTTTCAAGAAAATATTAGTGACATTGACTAAACATATCTACCATTAAGTTTCGGATCTTACAAACAGCTCATTTCTATTTGAAAGCTGCTGAAATTAGGTTGAGAGCTGTTTAAAACATACTTACTGTGAAATTATCATCGACAGCCAATACTTCTTTCATATACTGATCTAGAATGACGTCGAACTTCAACATCAATTTGTTCAGTATCATCTGTCTCGTTTCTATGTGCTTGAACTTCAAAAGCATCTCCAACGCACTTTCGGAAGATCTATGATCATGAACAATATTAATTTGTATTTAGCAATATAAATTCTCAGAATGTATTTCACCTAATCATTTTGAAGCTTTGATCAATGAAGCTCACTCCTTCCAATTCAAGTTGACGTACTTCTTTGTAGAAGTTCTGCATTATAGCTTCCCAATTCTCCTTACAATTCAGATCGAAAATATCGAAGTCCGTATTCTCGATCTGAACCACCAACTTATCCACTCGTTTAGCCACATTATCTATACTCTGAGGATCGCTGACAATAGCTCTCAATTCTGGACCGAAAATGTTTTTGAAATGGTAGATAATCTGAAATAGATAAACATCAGTAATAATTACGAAAATTGAAGTGTCTTCCGTTGTTCTAACAGATTTGAATTTCAAGAGATAATGAATGAATGAAATGTACGAGAAGAAATTATCAATGAGTATGAATCCAAAACTAGCACTTATCCCAATCACTAGAATTGCAAGTTGACGACTTTAGGAGGTGAAGAAAACTAATGAAGACTGGTGTTCTTTAGTTTTCCTAATCTCTGAAGCAATTTTGGTACAATTCGTCGATTTCCCCACTCTGCTGTGATGGTTTGACCAGTGTCCAACTACTGACCTGTTGTCATAGAGGAACCACTTTTCATCACACGTGACGATCCGATTCAAAAAAGGATGGTTTTGGTTGAGCAAGAGCAAAGAAGAACAGACCTCAAAGCATGACAATTTCAGTCGATGGTTCAAATCGTGGGGCACCCACTTTTCAAGCTTTTTGACCTTTACAATACGTTTCAAATCGTCCTGAGTTACTGTAGGTCTACCATCTTCGATGCTAAAATATCCGCAACGAAATTTTGCAAACCATCGTCGAACAGAGCGTTCATTAACACCAACATTGCCAAATGCCTGGTTAATTTTTCTGGCTGTTTCGACATGGTAGGGGAGCCCAAGCGGGGATTTCGTGATTTACTGAAGCGCGGCAGATTAATATACAGGGGGATACCTTGTACCCGGTTAAGTTCCTCCACCAAATATGAGCCCCATATATAAGGCCACCTGTGAGGGATAAAGGATCAGATTAGTAAAAAAAATTGATCATCAGAAATTCTCGAGCGCGTCAGATTAAGGTAGGGTGAGTTAATAATTACCTGAGTAATCTACTTAAAAAACATACACTTATTTATTTGCATGATATTTCCAGTGATTTTCCATTAATTAAGTTCAATGATTGAAAAATAAATGAAAAAATATTTTTTTGTCAGATTGGGCGAATCCCTCTAGATAATCGTCAGATTATGAGACAGCACGTCTGAAACATAAATAAAGATGAACTATATATATCTTAATCTGACGCGCTCGAGTATTTCAAAATGTCAATTTTTTTTGCACATTATAATAATGGCCGCGAGTTTGCGTCAGATCGAAATCATCAGATTATTGAATGAGAGCTTTTTTTTGGTGCACTTAACACCCCCTTAGAAAATCTGACGCGCTCTATCAAATTTTTTTTTCATTTTTAACCCTTACGTACAACCACCCACATCATGCAAACGATCAGATGAACATACCAACATTATTAAAAATACATAGGACATTGATGGTATCGATATCTGACGCGCTCGAGTATAACCATGCAACAGTTTTTTTTACATATTTAATAATCTATAGCAGCTTCCCCCACCGATGAAAAGGTATATATTATATCACATTTTTTTCTTCTTATCATCTAAGCTTTGTAACCTAATAGGTCTCTATGACGTTCGAGTAAATCCCCATTTTGCATCGTGGGCTCCCCTGCTAACAGTACTTCGGTTCAATTTGAATTAGTAAAGAAAAATTGGAAGAAAATCGCTCAACGATATCATATAGCAATGAGCTGAAAAGAGGCAAGAAATCAAAATTTAGAAACAAAGTAATAGAATCAATGTTCATGGTTCAAAATTCAGTATCGATCAGTATATACCATAGGTTAGGTTAGGTTAGGTCCAAAGTGAGTTCGGCAGAGCCGAACTCTAAAAACCTGATTCGATTCCCAGCGGGACAGGCACAAAATTTGTGCTCTGCTGTTTCATCAGTTTCCAAACAGAGGCGACACACACTATCTTCCGATAGACCGAGTCTCTGCATTTGATTCAAATGACCGTGACCTGTAAGAAGGCCTGTTAGACATCGTAGTTCATCCCTACTATAGGCCAACAACTGTTTGGTATCGAACTTTGAAGGGTGAATAAACGCCTTGTAGTTAGCCAGTCCTGGAAGATTCCGCCACAAGTCCATACATCTTCTTGCCATCCAGGTGTTCAATCTTTGTTTGGCAAAGCCTAAATGGATGCCAATGACAGGTGCTGGTAGTATATACCATAACACAGTAGAATTAATATTTATTGAGATATGGAGCTACAAAAACACATGACATTGAAACGGGCAGAAATTTTAAAAAACCTAATAACTTACTGTAGCTACTTCGTGTAGATCTTTACAAACAATTGCCATGTAATCCGAAGCCGAAAAGAGTTTTCTTTTGTCAAACTCCCAGCGCTGTCCCTTTCCAGAATCTTCAATTTTCTGTCTAGTGTGTAAATATGAAGATTTCCACGTTTCTAACATTTCTCTTGCAACTGAAGTGAGACTTTTCACTTCATCAATGGGTTTTCTGTAAATTTAATTCATTATATGAACTAAAACCACAAGCACAAATATCAGATAATCTGAAAGGTCGTTATGAAATTTCTTTTTTTTATTTAAGCATATTCGCATCAACCTACTCGTTATTAGCGAGTAGTACATGTTTATAATTTTGTCATAATATCGATACATTCAAGAAATTTTGTAGTACATGAACACCTACTACAAAATTAAAGCTAGATTCATATGGAAAAACATGACTAATGATATCAAATACTATACAAAAACTTGTAAGACGTGCCGAATAGCAAAATTCAAATATTTACCATAACCTGACTTTGTTCATATCACTTAATGTTCTGAAAATTCATATGAAACCATACATGTAGAAAAAATCTGACTTGAATAAAACAACTAAATCATTCATTATTTTTGTTGATGAGGCAACAAAATACAACCCAGCAAAATCAGTGAAGGAAAATAGTAAATTGTAAAACAATATTTGTGAATGAAATAAAAAATATAGTAACTGATTGCGGAAAAGTATTTACATTTGAAAAATTTCATGAGTGAGTAAATGAGAGAGGAATAACAATTAAACATACTACCCCATATCACCCCGAAGGAAACGGAATTGCAGAACGTGTATCGAGAACGAGATCTAAAGTTATTCATGAAATGTTATTAAAATTTTCCTTGTGGTTGAAAGAAATGGTTCGAGGCAGCTGTAAGGCTGCATAATCAGTCGCATTCTGAATTTTTAGGTTGTTCACCATCATATAAGCTCTACAGCAAATCAATAGTTTTACAAGCAGATAAATTATTAGGCTTGAATTTACCAATAAAGGAAATACCAAAAACGCCAGAACAACAAATGAAATACAAAGAGAGGGTTCAAAATCAAGCCAATAAAAATAGAAATTTGAAACCACCTGAACTGAAAGAAGGAGAGACAGCATTCTAATAAGGTACCAGAAAATTGGAAATGAGTATATAACGAAAGGTCCTTTCAAGATAACAAGAGTCCATTTCATCGATGCTATAGTAGCATTCGTAAATTTCGACAATGATGGACGACCAGATTCAGGTCATATTTCCAATATAAGGAAGTTTCATCACAGAAGTGATGACTTTGAGGAGGGGAAGCTTTGTAGTATATGAACACTATGTATACCCACTTCTTTTTTATATATTTATATTATCATGGTGATATAAAAAACAAGTATTGTAAAATTGTTAACAAGTAAAGTTAAAACTTTAGAAATGCATCCTCTAGTTTGTAAGTTTATTACAAAATTGATAATATTTGGAATATTACAGAAATTATTTCTCTCCACCTGTCACATTGACATAGACCAGCGCGTGTAGATTTCTTTGTAATTAGGGTAGTTAAAAATAATTCGGTTGGGTTCATTTTTGATGATCTGGCTATTGGTACTGTGTTTGTCGTATTTAGTTAGGCTCGTGTCACAGTTCGGCGGTTTGACAGTCCAAGGAAAAGGTGGATAGAATTTGATAGGAGGGTAAATAAATGGTCGCGGATTTCCTGGTAGAAAGGTTTATGGATTCTCGTATGATTTGTGAAGAGATTCCTATATTTATCGCAGAATGTGTTACTGTGAGTGGGATTTGTTGGAGTTGCACCTATCGTTGATGCACACGCCAAACTAAGGTGGGTGAGATTATACTGATCTGAGTGAAATTAAAAAAATAAATAAAAAATCTACCTGAAAAGTGTCTCATTATCGAGGCTAGTTCGAACTTTCTCCAATAAACTCCATACTATTCTTTCCATGAAGGGTACCATAATTTCATCCGTATTATAATAACTCGACAGAACCCATATCAAATGTAAGCCATCTATTAGTTGTGGTATGCATTCTTTAACTTTCCAGAAGTCATTCTCAAGAGAGATTACCTAAGGAATTATTGGACGTATTACCAAAAGAAAATGTAGAGGTTCACTCTGATGTTTATAGTAGGGAAAAAACAATAATTGAAAACAGTAACTATAACATAACTAATCGAAGGGGTTATATTTTTAGGAGTGATTAATTTTTGGAAAAGAAAGTTTTTGGCTTTCTACTACTCCATCTAGATACAAAAAAATGTGGGAATCTTTCAAAGAAAGAAAGGAAGTAATCAATTTGAAAATAAGTAACTCTTATACATGGATGTGTAGATCATGTAAAGAAGTAACTTTCAAACACCTATATATTTGATTTTGAGACAAGAGTAAAATACTCTTATTTTGAGAAATCTCGGAAAATGTTATTTAGAAAAGTTGATCAGTATTAGAAAATACATCTAGATTTCAAGTTATGGCCATCTGAGTGAAGTTTAATTTTTTACCCATTTTTTTTTAATGGGGACTACGAAAATAAAAATTTGCAAAAACGATAAATAGACAGCATCCTGTATACAACGAATCATTATAAAAACCTGCAATATTACAAACTACACAACTATGATGTTAACCATATTCAATTTTTTTGAAGAGTAAAATAATTTTCAGAGTTTTTGGTGCAAAGTTATTTTTATTTTTTGTTAACACCAAAAATTACTCAAAATTATACAGTGTTTTAACAAGAACTTAATATCAAATCACAAAACATCAAAATAAAATAGCTATATTGGAACAAACTCATAAAATTGCATATAAAAATCAACTCGCATTGAATAATATTTTTTCGAAATTAAAGGACAAAGGTGCAATTTCAGATAATTCAAATGTAGTCTACTGCATATCTTGCACCCAATGTGGTAAAAAGTATATTGGCCAAACCAAAAGGTACTTGAAAGACAGAATTTGTTCTCATAAAAGCGGTATTAAAAATTAAAAAAAAACTGTGCTCTAGCTCAACATACGATTGAACTAAACCACAGACCTGATTATGACAATGTGACTATTTCAGAACATGAATCCAATTAAAAAAAATAACTTTTCTCGATATGACAATAATTTTTAAAGAATCAAATTCAATTAACTATAGAAATGACATAGATCATCTCAGCGTAATTTATTTATATCTACTAAGTCGCCCTCTTCAAGGGACTTCTAACAACTAATATAACCTTTCCAAAGAATAATAAAATATTGGCAACCCTTTATAGTTGTTTTTATTTTTCATCTCTCATTGTATGTTGGTAACAAGATCAAGACAATTACTCAGAGTAATAAAAAATATACACTGATATGAGTTATCATCCGAAGACGATTGTGGAAACCAACAATCGAAACATCGTGAAGTAACTTGGCTTGGAGTCTTTTTATTTTTAATTTTCATTTCTTGTTGATAATTTTTTATTTTCATCTCGTGTTAATAGTTAATTTTTTTTATTGTTGCTTGTATTTTATTTCATTGTAATTCCAGTTTTTTGCTTAATATAATTGATATTTTCCAGCTAATCTTTTTAATATTTTATACATTCTTTCAGAGATTTCAAATCAATTTATAGTATATTAAACAATGGAAGTCCGAACCAATGCAATGCACTACAAAAATTGTAAACCACCTTCAAACAAACGTTTGAAAATATATTTGAAAGAATTGGAAAGGTATCGATATGAATTTGAAAATTTGAAATACAAAGCAAATAATCTAGTAGAAAAACAGTCCATCAACCCTGAGTTTTCTAAGACTCGTCTGAGGAAGGTGAAAGGCCATTTTGACGAACTTTGCGAAGATAAGCGTCTTCAACATACGGAAAGTTTGCTCACAGTGAAGATACGAGTATTTTATCGAATATTGGACATCATTATTAATCAACTGAAATCGCGTTTCCCTCCAAAGAATAAAATTGTTTCCAATTTCAATGATTTGCAACCTGCCACTTTGATCTATTGATTAAAGCACTAAAGCATATCTGAATCATTTGCCAGGGATATTCATAGTTTTTGGCCCACTTGCAAAGACGAAATAAAAAAGTAAAATGTATTGAAGAGCTTGCTGATTTATTAATAATAAAGAATCAATTTGTATCATACATGTTTCCTGAAGTATGTACTGCATTAATGTTATTCGTTACAATACTTGTGAGTACAGCTAGTGCCGAGAGATCATTTTCGAAACTGAAATTGATAAAAACTTTTTCAAGAAACTCTATGGAACAAAACAGGCTACGTAACTTGGCTATTCTGTCTATTGAAAATTCTATGGCCCGATCTTTAAACTTTGACGATATTATTGATACTTTTGTGGAACAGAAAGCTCAAAAAATTTTTATTAATAAATATCTTGTAACCATTACCCTTTGATTTCATTGTAAATATCCAATACCTGTGCTATTGAAAATTAGATATTTAACTGAAATGGGCACAATATTATTATTGGGTAAGTATCTCAGTGATTTAATAAAATTAAATTACAATGTGACGATTTTTCTTGGGGCTCCATCCAATGAATTTTCCACGGGCCTCAGATGGTATAGTTACGCCACTGATAACAGGTCTACTTACTGAATAGTGTCTATTCCAAGAGCACCGGAAATACATCATGGACTGGGCTGAGTTCAAGGCGTCCATGAATGAACAAACTATCATATAAAAAAAATATCACCAAGAACAATATTGATGGGATATGTGATCAATTCAGTGTTACCTAAGGTGACAGCAGTGCAATGCAAAATGGCAATCAACCTACGAACTAGAAATCACCAGACATCGGTGAATCATCAAGATGAATAAACCTCTGAAGAAACCAGCCACTCGTGCTGGCGAAACCTTAGGTTACAGTTCCAAACTACGTCGGCCTTCAAACCCGAATGAAGATCGTAACACTGAAAATCTCGGCCACGAAAGCCTTGATCAATTTATGTGATCCATCCGTTCAAAATATCCGACGTGCTAGAGATGTCTCTACGAGGAAGATCGTGGTGAAAGGCGATCATGACATCTTTCGGCTTGATGTTGTTGACCTCATTAAGCAAAAACATTGCATGCGCAATGTCCGGTGTCCACTGTGTGAATCCCGACGTCTGTGATGAAGATAAACCTACCACTGAAGCTGCTAACACCAATAAATGGAGACCGATTGCCATAATACCAGAGCCAACATTATTGAAGTGGATCAGAGACGTTGAGGAGGTAACAACCATGACCCGAATGAAGATCGTAACACTGAAAATCTCGGCCACGAAAGCCTTGATCAATTTATGTGATCCATCCGTTCAAAATATCCGACGTGCTAGAGATGTCTCTACGAAGAAGATCGTGGTGAAAGGCGATCATGACATCTTTCGGCTTGATGTTGTTGACCTCATTAAGCAAAAACATTGCATGCGCAATGTCCGGTGTCCACTGTGTGAATCCCGACGTCTGTGATGAAGATAAACCTACCACTGAAGCTGCTAACACCAATAAATGGAGACCGATTGCCATAATACCAGAGCCAACATTATTGAAGTGGATCAGAGACGTTGAGGAGGTGGTCGCAACCATGAAGCATTTGGGAAAAAACAAAGCCCCAGGGGTTGATGGGATTGAGGCAGTACTACATCGTAATCTGCCGTGAAAGGGTATTGCACAACTAGTATATATAGTCACCGCTATAATTGAACACCAACATTATCCAAATTGTCTGAAGCATGCGGCCATACATAAGTATGGAAAACTTAACACTCTTATGGATAGCTACCGCCTGATCCTGCTGCTCAGTGCGGTGGCGAAGGTCACTGATAAGATTCTTTTGAGCAGACTTCTTCGCCTGGAAGATAGGATGAAGCTCATTCCCGAGGAGGTTGGAATAAGACTTTTCAACTAATCTGGCTTGTTCACAGGGTGAAGGATCCTTCAACTAGGGGAAAAACATGGTTATGGTTCTACTGAATATCCAAAAAGCTTTTGACAAAGTTTGGATGAAAGGGTTTGTCGCCAAAGTGTGGTCGACAGGAATTATTGGTGATTAGGATTCTCGAATTCTACCTGAGCAACCGAACGTTTCGTGTGAGAGTGGACCAAACCAAATCTGCGAATTATCCAATCAAAGTAGGTGTCTCGCAGGGATCCTGTTTATCACCGCACGTATACTCTCTGTATTCATACGATTTTCCGATGTTTCCGCAGTGTTTTCTGCGTGTATATGCGAAGTGGCGAAGCAACAACTGCAGATGCACCTCGTCAGGTTTGTCGTGCCGTATTTTGAGAGAAATAAGATCCAGAGTGATCCCAACAATTTATTAACGTGAAGATCTTCGGAAGCTGCGAGTTAAGGGTGACTGCGTTGATGGGCAGAAAAGCGCGCGATATCTGGGAGTTTTCCTGGATAGGCGCTTGAACTTTCAGCAACTCTAGAGCTTGGCAATCTATCGAGCTGCTGCGGCGGTAAACCGCACGTATCTGTTCTAAGCTTAGTGTTGACAACAAGTTGCTAATTTACAAACAAGTAATTAGACCAGCTATGTTGTTCGCTTGTCCCGTATTCTTAAGCCTGAAGAGGATTTCTCTGCGGAGACTCGAGACGATGCTGAATAAGTTGCTCCGTATTTGCACAAATGGTGACAGATACATTGCATCGAATGATATGTTAGATCTGGCAGAAGTTGAGACGGTCATTGAATATATCAAGAGGCTGTCTCGTAAATTTTCCAAGTCCCGCTGACGATGGACACACAGAATTACTCTTACCTGTTTTTTTCATGAACTTTTTCCAGGAGGCTCTAGCATCAAACCTTGAGATACACTAGACATACTTGAAACCATGTACCGAACTGCAATTTACCGAAAACTCTCGCGTAAGCTCTGGCAGGAAGCAAGAAATTCTAGACCGAGGCTAAAATGAAGCACTGTTGAGTGGAGAGCTACCCGTTAACACCAGCGGTGGCGCCTCCCACTGGCCCATCGTGGAATTGTAAGGAGACGCTACCTTTCGCTGTTATCCTGAGCTTTCATTAAAGGCTCCTCCTGTCATTTCTCCCCTTTCCTTCACCCATACCTTTCTTGTTCCCCCCAACCCTAGTCCCCTACCCTAGTCAACACACAATTTACAATATATTTGTATATATTGTAAAATGTGTGTTTTATTGTTATTTTAACCAGAATAGGCAATAAACAATTTTCATGTTTATTTTGGAAATATAAGGAAGACTTTAGCTGCAAGCAATGCAATACAGGGATGATTCACCTTGTCATGTTTCAGATGGATGTGAGGCCCTTGATCACAAGCAAGCAATTTATAGATAACCCAAATTATGTTGAAAAGAATATGGCGAAGATGCAAAAAATGACATGTACAGTATATTCAGGAAATGTGTGTCATGAAAATATAAGGGGGATATGAAATAAGACACCATGAAGCTTATGTGTTTTCCAGACATTTGGGAGAAGTGAGTGTCTCCCAACCAATGAAAAGGTGGAAATTCTAAGTACAGAAAATGAATAGAATTTATATGGTTTACCTTCAGCTGTCTTTGGATAGTTGACAAAAACTTTACGTTTTCCTTTGCCTGGCTATAATACCTTCTCAAATCTATTTGATAATGAATAAATCCATCAATGACAGGAGATTTGGCTTTCTCTAAAATGTTACTAATTCTGACAAGAGTGGGCTTTTTCAATTGTTCCACAATTGAGCTCAAGGCCGCTTCTCTCTCATGCCAATATTCATATTCTGGAAGAGGGCCATTTCCTAGAGGGGTCTGAAAAATACTGTTAGTTAACAATATCAAATAACATGTAGTATATGAACATTCTGTATACTTTTTTTTTCATATATTTTTTTGCTGTAGCAAAATAATTGAAACAGACATTGTACATTTTTGACAAGTATAGGTATACCTAAGGTAGGAACTCATTCTCTTGTTTCTTTGGAAGTCTATTACAAAACACATTAACAAATATCAATATATTTATATGGTAAGAATCATTCACCTTGGCTAAATAACTTTCTATGACTTTAAGAATATGCCTTTCCCATCCCATGACGACATCTTCTAAATTTGACACAATTTTGGAATCTTTTATCAGTTCATCGTCGGTGTGATCAGAATGAAGAATATCGGTCAAATCGATCATTGGCNTTAAAAAGGAAACAAAGTCCTAAATATTCGATTTTTTGGTATCGAATATCGCGAAAATTATACCTTAGCCAAATCCTAGAGAAATACTTTGACTTTTCTTTGGTTTCCATTTCGAATCTGCTCATGAACAGGTCTGCCAGGTAGGGGGACACGGAATTTCCCATGGCCGTTCCTTCCTGTTGTTCATAAAAGCAACCTTCTACCTGGAACCGATTTTGTTTCATACACAAATTAATAAGAGAAACGAATTCATCGATTTCGTTATTATTGAAATTATTTCTCTCTAGTAATTCCCTGAGGTATTGCAAGGTCTGTGGAATTGGGACGCTAGGAAATAAGGAACTGACATCAAAAGAAAACAAAATCTCACCTTCTTGCAGAACCATGTTTTTTGTATGTTGTATGAACTCTAAAGAGTTTTTTTATACTAAAACCTGGTTCCGCAATAGAGAAGGTTTCAAATTCCTTAGTGAGCCAGCCACTTTGCTATTTGGTAGGTAGGAGCTCCAATAGCTGACACGATGGGGCGCATTGATTTTCCCGGTTTGTGGATTTTTGGGAGGCAATATAGTTTCGACACCGTTGGGTTGGAAACTTGTAACTTCTGTTTCAGTTGAGGGGTAAGTATGTTGTCGCATTTCTTGAGGACGTCTTTTACTTCGGCAATCATCTTTGGTCCAGGATTGTCCAGGAACCCGTTCCTGGACAATTTCGCATACGGTTCGTTAGTAATGAGAGCATTCACCCTTTCGTCAATACTCTCATTACCAACTGTTAATGGGAATTATAAAATTTCTTGACTGATACCTGCACAAAATATCTAGCAATAATTTTGTATTTGCAAATTAAGTCGAACAAAAAAATATTAATTCAATTAAACATAAGTGTTTCGTGAAGACAATAGATAATATTGGAATAAAAATCACTTACCAGTTCAATGCACTGACAAGTGCCATAACGTCATGAACGAGCCCTTCTCTAATAGGATTTTTAGAATCCTGGGAGTCGCTTTCCAAACCCAGCGTGATTCCAAGGGATGCATCGCTGAAAAGACTCTGCTGGGTTGCCTTTCTTAAGGTCAGGGAAATTTTTCGGAAATCTGAAGGCCGTTTGAACTCTTGCTTATCGGAGCTGCTGTTCCTATTCGACTCGGGTCTTGTAGATTTTAGTGTCGGTTCCACGAATGATTTGGCGAGTAAGGATGCAAATACCTAATGAAAAAATGATAAATAAAGTATGGATATCGTTTGAAATTGGTTATTTTGGTAATGGGAAAGGTAATTCATAAAAGATTGAGTGGTTATTATTCACAAGAATTACTATTAGTGTCGCCGCCAAGGCAAGAGATCCTTGTCTCTTGTGTCGTCTTATCTTGTTTTGTCTCGAACGAGAAAAAAAAGAGAATCCTCTACTGTCAGGAGAGGACAAGAAAAGTCGAGAGAAAAGTGACATCATAAAAATTCACTTAATTTTTCATGCACAGCTCGACAAGAATCATTTCATTTTTATTCTCAATGTAAATTTTTCTTTGGTGTTATGGTGTTTATATCAGGCTGATCCAACAAATACTTGTTTGATATATTTGCAAAACGTCTTATGTGAACGCAAAATGTAATGTAATATTCGTCGTTCGGCAATCAACTTTTGCCTCAACAAGCGGAGATTTCGGAATTAACTAAAGCGCGGCAGATTAATATACAGGGGGATACCTTGTACCCGGTTAAGTACCTCCACCAAATATGAGCCCCATATATAAGGCCGCCTGTGAGGGATAGAGGATAAGAGATTAGTAAAAAAAAATTGATCATCAGAAATTCTCGAGCGCGTCAGATCAAGATAGGGTGAGTTATTTACCTGCTAAAAAGTGTATATTCCAGTAATCTGACAATTTGAGAGTGACGTAAAGAAAGTGGAGGGCAGAAAAGTTGTAAAAAAATAACGCCATTTCGACGTTATTTCACTCTCCAAGTTTCTGTTTCTCTATTCTCAATTCACTTTTTTTCTATCTATTACTCTCTCACTCCGTCCCCACTCTTGTTGCCATGACGCCATCACAGCTGATCACAGAGACTCGTTCGTAATCTGTTTGAAAAATCTGTTTTTCCGTTAATCAGCTGTCGCACCCCTTCTAACAACAACCCTTAGAAGTCGAAACTTGTGCGAGCTAAGGATTAACGAGGTCTTACCTTTTAACGTGTGATTCCTAACACGGGTTGGACGATAGCAAGTGAAGATCGATCGTTTAGACTAGGGCTTGAACCACCGACCAACACGGCAGTCAATAACCTATTGCTTATTGAATCGGCCCCCGGAGCATTTTTGGCCTTTGCGGCCTTGATATACCCCTTCAGCTCATCCACAGAAGCTGGACGGATGTTGTCATAATCATCTTTGGATGCGGTGAACCCCATCTTCCAACAGCATATCGCGATCGATGTCATCGTTGTCGTCAACGTTAAGTTGAAACTGACGTTCCATCGAGTCGGCAAAGGCCAACGCTTTGTCGGCGGGGGAATAGCCCGCTCTCTGTGAATGGGTGAGGGAGCAGTCTTTCTCACCTTGAGTCTGCGAGTGACTCGCCTTTCGTTCCGGTGATCAGAGATGGCCTGCTTGACTTGGCCATCCTGCTTGCCGCAATTTTATCCCCTAGGAAAAGGGTTCGCTGGTAGAGCCTTCTCAGGCAATTTCTCTCTCGTATCAAGGCTTTGATACGAGGGGGAAACTCATTATAGCTCTTCAGCGGACACTCCTCCCTGGAGGTGGCCGCTCGGAACGCATCATTTACAGAGAGCTCGAAACGTCCAACTGCCGCATCGAGTTGATCGGGAGAGCGGAATTGAGTTTTGCTTTTGCGGATTGGCGTTTTATATGATTTTGGCAACATGTGAAATTGAGTTACATCTGCCTGCCGGCGAGATCAAATGACAGCTGTTACCAACGGTCTTTTACAATATTTAACTTATGACCTCGTTAATATTACTTCAAACATTACCGACTGACATTAATATTCTTTCCTAATTATTTCGATTCGCGATTATTGTTTCATTGTCTCACCGCCCACGTGTTCTGCTCGATGAACTAAGATCCCTTCGGCCTTGGCAAGGTCGCCTGTTGTTTATATTTTAAACTGAGCTACTTTCCGACATTCTTCTGCACAGATGACTTCTCGAAGATGCTTTCAAGAATTTATCTAATTTTCGTTTGTCAGAATATGCCTCATACCAACAGACTGAACATGCTAAACAGTTGAAACTGTGAGCATATGTTCGAGGCAAGTCTGCCAACATAAGGTGACACCGTGTCCAGTAGAAGTGTGGCGTATCGAAGTTAGGTTTTTTCAATAGAACTATATATGTGGGTACTCTTAGAAAATGTAGGATTGTTTGGGTATATACGGAAGTGCAGAAGGCCCACATATTTCTATTAGTCATTTCTCGAAAATAACGATTTGAAAACTCGAAATTTCAACTTTAATCTCGAAATTACGACGTTCAACTTGAAATTTCGACTTCAATATCAAATATTCGACTTTAAACTTGAAATTACGACTTGAAACTCGAATTTTCGACTTTAATCTCAAAATTTCAACTTCAAACTCGAAATTTCCACTTCCAACTAGAACTTTTGACTTGAATCTCGAAATCTCGACTTTGAACTCAAAATTACGAATTTCATTTCGAAACAATAACTTCAATCTCGAAATTTCGACATTAAACTCGTAATTTCCTCTCTAATTTCGAAATTTCGACTTTCAACTCGAAATTTCGACTTTATTCTCGAACATTCGACTTTAAACTCAAAATTTCGACTTCAACCTCGAAATTACGACTTTAATTTGGTAAGAAGCGTAAAATGAAACACTTTTTCCAAATATTATTTTTTTACATTCTGATTGATGGATAACTCACCTGTTTTGAAAGAAATGCAATGGAATTCAGAAAATTCCCTGTACTAGTTCCGAAGTGAAAGTAAGCTGGCATTTCTAAATCAGCAATTTCGGCGCCTTCAAAATTAGGAATTCCATCCTGGGTTTTCCGATACATATAGACACATCGCTTCATATCTGGAGGAACTGTTCCTTGGTGCATTTTGAGGAATCCGCCATGTAAGGCATAGTCCACAACAAGTTTCTGGACAATTTGCTATGAAGAAATTGAGAATCAGATACGCTATTAGGAAGGTGTTTGTACAAAATAATTCAAATGGTGTTTCAAAGCTGTATTTTTTGGGTGTCATCGGCATCGACTGCATTGGTCACTAGCCTCGTGTTCTGGGTAGGCAATTTTAATAACTTCCGTGCCACCTAGGGAGCATCATAGCTATTCACAGTCCGTCAGCCATGTAACGTTGCAAAATCATCCCAGCTTCAAATAGATACATTCTCTCGAGAAAAATATCTGGACGAGGTTAGGA